CATTCGGAATGCCAATGGGTAACCCTTTATCACCTACAATCGCAGACATAATCATGGATGACCTGCTGGATAAAACTTTAACAGAACTAAAGGGGCTGCATAATATAAAAATCAAACTCATAGTGAAATATGTGGACGACGTCTTTGCAATTGTTAGACGAAACGACGTAGAAATAATTTTAAAGACTATAAACAAGTATCATGAAAAGCTGCAATTTACAATGGAAACAGAGAGAAACCTCAGCATACCCTTTTTAGACGTTCGTATCCACAGAGAAAAGGAGAAAATATTACTTAACTGGTACTCCAAACCCATTTCATCGGGACGCATAATAAACTTCCTATCTGCTCAACCTTTGAAATACAAAATCAACACCGCGAGAAATCTTGTTACGAAAATACCTACCATAAGTCACCAAAGGTTTAGAGACGAAAACGTAGGGAAAATACATGAGATACTCAAACGTAACAACTATCCGATACACATGACTAAAAATTTAATTGAACAGGCACTCATGAAAATAAACAAGCAGCACAATAACACTTCCGCAGTAGCAAACACTGAGACAAAACAATTCTATAGTGTCACATATGTCCCCAAATTGACCGGCAAACTTCCCCAAACGATAAAGAAAAACAAGCCAAACATAACTCTAGCATACAAGTCAAATTGCACTTTGTCAACGATATTTACAAGAACAAAAAGTCCGATTGAACCGCAACAACAAAGCAACATTGTATACAAAATAAAATGCCAAGGTAAACAAAACGAAGAGCGCAACAAAATCTACATAGGGACAACAAAGCGATCACTAAGCACACGATTATCAGAACACGATGCGGATATAAGAAAAAAGAAAAATAACACGGCATTAGCACAACATATACTAACGAGCGGTCACACAGCTGACCTAGCTAATACAAAGATATTAGACAGAGAAAACAGAGAAAAAATACGATACACGCTAGAGAGCCTCCGCATAATGCAAAAAAGAGAAAGAACAGTCAACAAGAAAGAAGACACTAACGACATTGCGGCTACTTATTTACTGTGTTTACAAAACACAGTCAGTACGACAAGTGTACCCCAAGCAGCTGGTACCGATGAATAGTTTTTAAGACAAGTGTTCACTTATTATTGCTTGTAAGTTTTGTTAGTTTTTGGTATACATGTATATTCATACACACTATAGATATAAATTTCAACTCCTCACAACAAATGTGATTGTCATATAAAATATGTTTGTTTTTGTCTAATGTTTTATAATTGTAAAAATGTTTTTGTTGTTTTTTCAATAAAGATTTCCGCCCCTGATGAAGCTAAGAACGTTAGCGAAACGTTGGGCATAAAGTGAAGCAGAAACCGAGAGTTTTCATTTGCACTTGCACATGATAGATCAACCAAGCCTACAATAACATTAAAAGTCTATACCAAATTGATCAGCATACAAAAGAAAAAAAAAGATTTTCATTTTTGCTGCAAGTGCTGTCAAATCAATCGAGTGTTGCC